ACCAAATATGACAAGATTTGATTGTCAGTGACCAAATCTTTGGTCATAGATTTGACATTTTCCCGTCAGATCCACCATTGTTATGATCGAGGTCTATCCTCTATTTTGCCACATTCGGACACCCCTCATGGCTTTGCTTCACTTCGTGGTCTTTTTTTCACCTTACAAACGCCTCTCCCATGACTTGAACCTTAGACTTATACCTTGGTCAAGTAATATGAGTACTATTGGACACTCCGAAACGGTTAAACGAACAAAACTCATGCCTATGGTTGTCATTTTTTAGACTTTTAGAGTTGTTTTGAGGGATTTTTGGACCTTTTTTTTAAGGGGTGTTTTTGCAAGTTCCTGGATGTTTTGTAATAATTTTTTATTTTTATTTTTCGTTAGTATTTTCGAATTAGGGTTTTTGGGAAAACTATTTAAAAGCTATATTGGCCTAAGAGTGGTAGTTTTTTTAGTGATTATTATTTGAATGAATTATTGAGAAACCTAAAAGGTTATTTCATATTATCCAGTATTCGAATCTGATACAATTCGGTGATCTTTATACAATTTGGTGGTAGTTATCGTATCACTTGTTTCCTACATTTTTAGTTATCTCTGTTAGGAGTGTTCAAAAGAACCGATTGGAATCGAAACCGATGGATACCCGAGGTTTGGTTTTGGTTTTTACCTGGAACTAGACGTCAACGGGTAAGTTCCAATTCCGGTTCCTATAGTGAGGAATCGGGAATCGAGGTATAATAAAATAAAATTAAAGAGTAGGGGGTTAATAAAAACTTTATAGAAAAGTAATGTGAACATTATATTTATATTTCATAAATTTAAGTAAGTTGGTTTACTTTTGAATCTACCTTTACAAAGTAATGGAGTTTGTATTTTAATTTTAAATTTTAAATTTTATTTTTGTTACAAGTGCCAGGTGGGGGGGTAATTGTTTTTTTTTAAGGTTTTTTTTGCCATTTTAAAACTTTGGGGGGGGAATAATTTTCCAGAACCAAAACCGGAACCGAACCGTTGTTACAGGTTCCATTCCAATTTCAAGGAACGTTGATCCGATTTCTCAAAAAACAAGATACTGGGAACCGACACCCCTAATCTTGTGTATGTTTGACCAAATGAGAATATAGAAACACTTGAAAAAATAAAAATAAATAAGAGAATGAAAATGAAAAAAGATAAGCAACATCAATAAAATCATTAGATGAAATATTTATTATTGATTTCTTTATTTTCAAATTAGACGAATATGAGAGTAATGCCATAACTCATCATCAAAATTTTAACAGAAAACTTACGGCCATCGGTATAAAACCGTACTTGACCAACCTGTGGCCATCGGAGGCTGCTAAGGAGGGCACTCCAAAACGGTTAAAGAACAAACTATGCCTATGGTTGTCATTTTTTGCCTTTTAGAGTTGTTTTGAGGGTTTTTTGGACCTTTTTTATGGGGTGGTTTTTGCAAGTTCTGGTGTTTTCTAATAATTGTTTATTTTTCTTTTCGTTAGTATTGCGATTAGGGTTTAGGGAAAACTTTTAAAAGTTTAATTGGCCTAAGATGGTAGTTTTTTTAGGGATTATTATTTCAATGATTATTGAGAAACCTAAAAGGTTATTTCATACCCCAGTATTGTTTGAATCTGGTACAATTCGATGATCTTTATACATTTGTGGTGGTTATTGTATCACTTATTTCCTACGTTTTTAGTATCTCTGTTATTGTTTCAGCACAAATGAGAATATAGAAACGATTGAAAAAATAAAAATGAAAATGAAAAAAGATGACAACATCATATCATTAGATGAAATATATTATTATTGATTTCTTATCTTCAAAGTAGACGAAGATGAGATGTAATGCCATACTCTCATCAAAATTTTAACAAGAAAGTGCGAATTTCCATAGGCCCAAGCTCAACAATAAGAACTGAACTATCAACTAGGCCACCTTTAATTGGGATTGTGTTGTCCATTGTGGCCTTCAATTTTCCATTTCATCTTCTTCATCTCTGATTTTCTTGGTTTGTTGATAAGCCATTTCCTTAGCTCTTTTATCTGATATTGTTAGCCCCAATTGACCCAGAAAGTAGTTCAGAGTTAAAATTACGTCTACTAAGTTTTGTGACTATTGAAAACTTTTCCAAACAGGAAAGGCCAGTTTGGCCTGTGGGCATGAAACACAAAATGTATACCTTAACAGCTAAGCTATGTATGGATTGGATGTTAAATTTCTAATAAACAAATGTATAACTTAGGCCATAATTCACGCATGTTTAAGAAAACTTGACCGGATTACTAGAGAAGTACCAAATAAGAAGCAATACATACCGATTTTCCGGTAAACATCTTCTTTAGTTCAACTTTGGCGAGCTTGGAATAGTCAGCATCTTCACCCTCCTACAAGTTTAGAACACGAGCAAAGCAGATTAAAAACTATTATATGTTAAATTTTTTTATTTATTTTTATGACCGGGTGTCTACAGTTTACGCACACTTCAACTAATCTTCTAGACACTGACTACCGATCGGGTAAAGTTCTAATGACCACTCTATTAGCAACTGAGAAGGATTCAACTCACCCTCTGAGTAATACACTCAGAATCTCTATCGAATCACTCGTCACCCAGGTTGGTTATGACTTAATAGTTCTGAATGACATGTTAAATTTTAGCTGCAATGCCTCTAACAAGGTATAATTGGAGAATTTCAGAGAAAATTTGAAGATATGACATCAAGCAATAATCTTTACCTCATATAGTGTGCCAAACGGAGAACACTTCCCATCTCCAACTCCTGCAAATTAGAGTTAACAAGAGAAAATTTTATCAATTCATAGACACTGAGTTTTGTTGTCACCTGAAGAGTAATTAAAGCAACATTGGGAGGCAAGCTGAGTTTGAATCCATGACAGTGCTTTTGTGAGATGAGATGCTTTCCATGTCTCTATTTCTGAATAAAAAATTGTTGCATCAGTTGAGTTACAATAGTTGATACTCATAGTGACTAATCACGATATCCTCATGTGTGAAAGCAAAAGAATTGGTGAATAATTTCCTGACCAGTTGTCCTGCGCCAGCGTGCACCGGCCCCTAGTTCATTAATACTTAAATGTAGTTTCCTCTAACCTGAAGAAATGATATAAAAATCTAAGGTAAAAAAATATATGTAAAATTCTCATCTTACAATAGCGGAATCCTAGTCTAGGTCTAATACACTCAAGATAAGAGAAGTAAACTATATCTTTCTCTTTGAACAACTGATTAATACTCAGCCAATTATAGATTGCTTGATTGGAAAGAATTTTAAAGCATGAACGCAATTTTATACAATTTCATACCGTTGACCTTCACATTTGCCTCCAACACAAACCATTTCATCGAGGGCTTCTCCAACTCTCTCCATCATCTTCAAGCAAACCTTGTAGTATATAATCAAAGAAAATCAGTTTACATATTTAATATGTAATAGAAATTTTTGATAGTATTAAATATGGAGTAATGTGAAACAAACCTATGAACATTGCTCTACTTGTCCATCTTTAATGCTGGCTCCTCCAGTTGCACGATCAACTAAAACTGAGAGTTCAGATTTCTTATCCTTAGTGTAAATTCCAAGGTTAAGCTGGAAAAGATAAATGAAAGAATATTATTGTTCAAAAATATAGATATCACTGTTAACATCATATTATTTATGTAAGTCCAATGTTAAAGGGTTGTTCCAAACCATAAAGAGCTTGAAAAACTTGTAAATTCAAAGACTAGGTAAATAATACTTTGCATTAATAGGGTTAAGAAAATTACAGGATAGTAATTCCCTGCTACAGGTTGATTAACTGAAAGATTCCAGTCAGCTCTGTAGTCTCGTACCTGAAAAGAGTTATATAGGTTTCAACAACGATAGAGCATAAGGGCAATATTTACTACTTTTTTATGGTAAATGAAACTCATAGAAGTATAAATATTGAACATAAAGAGTAAAGAAAAAGAAACAATAGTTGATAAACTTTCACTATGTCTTAATTAACATAACTGAATGACGAACCATGTATAGACAATGAACAGATTATTAACAATACATGATTTTATTTACAAAACTAAGTGGAAAGCCATTTTCCAACATCTCAAGTTTTAATAGAGAGCACTAATATGAAATTAGTAAGGTTTTAAGCTGCTCTTAAGCCAAGAGCATAAAGAAATGATCACAATATGCTATCTTTTAAGTCAGCCAGAATATTTACAATAAAAAACTCCCCTATACTTTGATATTGAATACATCCCGTACGAATTAGGCATACAACAACCAACTACTTTCTTAAGCACAAATTTGCTAGGACTCAATAATATTCTAGTGCTTCTCACAAAGAATAAGGAAAGAAAGAAATTTATGAATCAAAGAAGTAGAGTAAATCGGTAATTGAGTTCTAGGTTGAAAGTTTGGTGAGAGTTACCCGCTTCAGAAAATCCCTTCCATTGGAATCAGTATAAAAAGGTTTATCTGTAACCATATTGGCTGTGATTTGTGATATCACCTCTTTCCCAACACCATCGTTAGTTGGAATTGGCCCGACCTTCAACATATATATCATCAAAACCAACATATTTGAGTACATGGAAATTTTATTTTGCTTGGGGCATAAAAGAGCCAGAAAATTTGACTCACAGTGTATTCAACTTCAGCATGCTCTTTATCCTTGTAAAGTCTTGTGACCTGACAAATGAATATTAACAATAAAAACGTATGATTTAAACTTAAGAGACTATGTTAGATCTTTATTTGCTTTTTTACCATCAGATTACCGAATGATGATTTTTTTAATGATTATTTCCTTCATATAAATAATTAAATTTATTAAAAAAATTAACGTACAAAAGAGAAAAAGCTATTTATCAATTGAAATCCAGATGATTAATGTTTAAATTCTGGGCATTTACTATGTTGNTGAGCATATTCACAACCACATTGAGTGAATCATAACTAATAAAATCGTGTACCTCATCTCCAAGTAGGTAAGCTTGTACGGCAGAATGTCCAAACGGATCGATTTGCCATCCAGCCCGAGGAGTGTGGTTAAACTGCTCTTTTATCAAACGATGACCGAGTGTTGTTTGGTCAATCATATCTATGTAATGGGTTGTTGCTTCATCATGCATACACCAACCACCGTTTCTGCAGATAGACAAAGGAACAAACTCTTCTTATATTAAAAAAGAGTAATGCTAAATTTACAACCCAATCTTATAACCCCCGATGCGGTAGCTCGTCATTGGTAAGCTCGTAAAATGGATTCCGCCTGCTTGTAAGGGTCTCACCTACTAATTTACGAGCTAACCAATAACGAACTGCTACGTTTGGGGTTGTGAGAGAAAGTTGTAGATGTGACATTATTGATTCAAAAAGAGTAACTCAAAAATAATAGCTGCTAATAACTGCATACACGAATTCCAATCGGCCGCCATCTACAAGTTTTCTCACTTGTTCTTGTATTTCTGGACTTTGTTCTACCCACCATCGTTGGAAAAATGCCTATAAATCATATCAAATTAAATTGTTTGATGATGGTAACAGCTAGGATTAGAAATCAAGGCATCCAAACTCAATTAACAAAAGAAAAGCATTTTTGCAAAATGCTTCTTAGTTTCTCTCAAGATAAACTGATTTCGAATTGTTAATATAATTCTCTACAATCCAAACTACATGAAGTATGATAGACATTCATATTATTCCATCATCAACCACTTAAAATCAAAGAATCAACAAAAGTTACCATCTCAGCAAAAACAAATTTCCTGTTTGGATCACGAAGCAAGGCTTCCACGACCGAGTCCNTGATGATTTTTTTATGATTATTTCCTCCATATAAATAATTAAATTTATTAAAAAAATTAATGTACAAAAGAGAAAAAGCTATTTATCAATTGAAATCCAGATGATTAATGTTTAAATTCTGGGCATTTACTATGTTGATTTCATTTTCTCAGTTTTCAATTAATTTTGCAGCCTCTCTTCCTCTCTTTCGCACCCTCTCTTGTGCCTTCACCTTCATGAGATAAATCCCTCCCCAAACACCACCATAGCAAGCTAATTCATCACACACATACCTGTTTACTACATTGTCTGTATAAAGCCCTTCATTTTCTAGAACTAATATTGAGACTTGTCTTCCATGCATACGTTGTAACATGTTATATGTTCTAAATTAATAAAAAATTGTTATTTTAAAAAACTATTAATCATATTATGTAAATAATCATTTTAAAAATAATTAATTATATTAGCTGTTGAATTTGAATTCTAATAGACACTTCCTGCTTAACAGGATAACAAGAAAACAGTTCCTTTGTAAAAAAGATTAAGAAGGAAAATGTTGAACCAAAACATAAGCATTTTTCAAACTTATAATGCAAAATAAATTGGAGCAAGTGAAGCAAAACAGTAAAAAAAAATATTGATAAACCTGGTTGATCCATGAACTAAATTGTTGATGAACTTCATCAACCAATGGTCCACGTACAACACGCACTTGAACCTGCATATCGAACAAAATATTGGAATAAATAAATATGAGATTAGTAAAGGAGAGATCTAATGTAATTACCAGGTTATTGAATGCTATTAAACTATTTGATGAGATAAATAAAAACAGCAAATGGGAAATTGTGAAGCCACTGTGATAAAGTAGGCTAGGCTTCTAATGTCAAATTAATTTTTACTCTTATGTGATGTGTTACTTTCTTATAATAGGTTTTGTTTAATGATAGAATGGATATATTTAAAGGAAAGCAGGAACTCTTACTGATCTTGAAACTATATTTGGTGGGGCGCCATTAGGCCGAAAAATGTAAGCACCAGAAGGCTGCTGAAGAGGATATATAAATGGAATGTTAGCTAGTAGCCCGACAGCTAAATTTTGATATCCTAACCTAATACACAATATTTGCTTACTTGACCATCTGTACTTGAACCATACCAGAGGAAGCTCTGTTGTACTGCTACCTCAACTGGAAAAAGAAAATGCAGCAATCATTTCCTGGTTATCTTTTTACATAATCTCGCATTAATGTGTCACATTTAACTTAATGATATGGCCCATATGCTTCTATGAGGAAGTGTGAACAGCTGACCCCGTGCTCGTTTATGCTTCGTTTAAGTTGTCCAGTGGTTCAGAAAAGTTCATCTTCATTATTCCAGGTCCAACTTCAATGTCATCTTCTGTGGACTGTCCTTGCAGAGAGATATCCCTTACTCTTTCCACTGAATCATGGTAGAAGAAAATAAAAGCAATAGCATAGAAGAATTACTATAAAACGTTTTTTACATGGTTTATGCTTCTTACCTTTTATTAGTTGCTTTCGAAATGAAATAAGTGTTCCATCCTAGTGGAGGCAAAAATGCTTGAAAGAGAAGCCAATATTTAGGGACTGATTTGATGAATATCCCAAATACGCTGCGTGTGAGAATTTCCTTAAGTTGTCTTTAACACCACCATAGTAGGAATTGGGAATCAATTACATTGCCTGATGAGTCTTTAACAACAAGATTATTACCTTTAACCTGGAGGATATGCATTTCAAATCATATTGAGGCACAGATATATAGCATCGGAGTAGTATTTCTCAGCAACAAAATGTTCTTATTTCTAATTAAGATAAAGCACAAAAATGTACTCACTGGTATCCTTATAAAGTCAGTACGTTTCCATCCAATTGGATTATATGCCACTATAACCTGAAAGTACCATTTATAAGAATAAACATATTCTAGCAAAGCTTATTGACGAAAAAATAAAAGAGGTGCGAGAAGTTTCCAAATTCTTCCCATTCGAAATGTCTTCCTCTGTTGGAGGGCAGTAACTGATATTATTATGGACACTGTTCAAAATTTGAAAAGAAAAATGGGGAAGGATAGCAGCAAAGTTAGGACAAGAGTAACTTGATGGTGTGATTGACACATATGACAAAGATAGAAAAAAATTGAAAAACTAGAAATGAATTTATACTTCTCAATTAAATGGATATTTGGAAATGTCTCACTTTATCTAAAAAGACATTCAAACCTCACCTGGCTAAATTTCGTTTATGCTTTGCGCATTGATCTCTTGATCCAGTACTAGTTAAGCAGGATAGAGCAGAGCTCACAACTGATTCAGACTGTCAAAATAATAGCATTGATAGAGAATTTTGGTGTGCATGAGGAACTATGGAAAAGTAGAAAAATGAAGACAGGGAAGTTTTGCGCCCACCTCGGAGGCTCCAGTAGATAGGCGTTTAGCATAGTCGTCTGTTGTATGTTGTTTAGCATGCAGTGCAACAGCGTCATGGTGCTGAGCAATTCCTAAAGCATCTCCTAGAGGAAGTATGGACCAGATGATCTCTTCCCTACCAAGAATTCAAGCTGTCTTGCTGCCTATTCACAACATTAGAAAATTGTTTTTCAGTTCTCTCAGAAGTCTTAACTTGATGAGGAAACTCCAACAGGCATTTGCTGATAAAAAGGATCCATTTTTTATAACATTCAAAAAAATTTCTGTAAGAGCTAGCAGTTTAGGACGATGTGCCAGTACTTGGTTTTGTGACACAATGGACTATCATCAATACCCTCAAACTGGTTTCACTTGAGCAATACTATGATCAGGGTGGGATGCATCAGATACTGGATCCTGATCATCAAAGAAACTAGCTTATATAGCAGAAAGAAAGAGTTTCCTCTATTTCATGCTGAGTTGCTACCAAAAATATCCGCTCAGTTCCCGCCATATCGTTTCAACGCAGGCCGACTAGTAAAGAACCCTGTCCAATAAGCATTTATTCCATCTGCATATCTGCCGGCAGTTGTTGATAAACAAGTAATTAAAACAATAGTTTTGGAAGCAATGCTTCATCAAGAAAGGAAAAGGGAACTGCAGATAGAACTAGTAATACTTACGGGAAGTAATCATCAGTTTTTAGTGGCCATGATACTTTTGCTGCATTCTTTGCATTGGTATACAGAGATGGTGGTAGATTATAATGCATTAACCTCGACCATCCTGAAATTAAACACAAATAATAGTGTATGTTAAATAAAATCTAACCAAGTAATGTATATGGACACCGAAAAAGGAAAGGGTAACACTTTCTTTTCTTCAAAATCTGTTTTCTGTAGATATTAACAAAGTTCATCGCCATTCTAACTAGTTACTCTCCTTCAATAAATCAAAGTAAAGACAGATATTTTATATGGCATGAAACAATTTTCCAAAAAAAAAAAAAAAGAAAGAAAACATAAAAGAGCATCTACAACATGGAAGAACAAGATAAACGAAGTTACTTTCAAAAGCTTGTCTACTCATATGTAATTGTGGCTAAAAGTGCAGGATAAATACAATGCTGACCATCTTAAAAGATGCACTCACTCTGAGAGGAAACACTTTCTCTGGCCATTGGAACAGAGCCCCTATCATGACCTAGCTTCCGAAATTATCTTCCTAATTTAGAATAAATTTCCAGAATAGATCATGAAATTCTACGAGATTCTGGCTGATGCTTTAATTTACCTTCACATTTTAAGAGTCAAAGTCCAATTGAGGATCAAGAGTGAAGTTTTGCAAATCAATAATAGGTAGTAGATCTGATAGAAGTCAAACAACAGCTCAGTAACTGGGAAGAGTCTCATTGCATGAGCTATCATGATTTAGGCACAGCAAAGTACACAGTGAAGCTTGTAACACACCATTCAAGCATCAACTGCTTTTTTTTTTTTAAATTACATTTGTATAAGAAAAGAAGTGCCTGCATGATGAAACTTTGAAATGCCCGTTAACAAATAATTTCTTGCAAACTCTACCTTGTTACATAGTGAATGAATTTGTCCATTTGCTTGAACCAAGACTCAGCATATTGGTACTGGAAATCATCACCCATTGTCCACATTACATGGTTATCCCTTGTCACATTTGCCTATACATCATGTGGCAATAAGTTATAATCCTTAACACTTTCAAAATTTCTATTCAACTTGCACAAGTGAGACATCATGTAGTTTGTTCCCAAACGCAATGAGAATATGCAAAACCCTTTGGTGAGAGACAATGAAAAAGAAGATAGGAAGAAGAATTTACTTGGGTCAAAGCAGCCTCAAATAAATCATTAACACGTTGCTCAACATTGTAGTCCTCAGTATGGATTGTCCTGCAGTCATAACATGTGACAGATGAGGGACAACTCAAATAATTAAACATCATCTGATAACATTTCGGTAGACTTAAAATCTGTAGAACATTAGGCCTGGAGAGTCTCAAAATCATCAAATACTTCAAATGGAAACCAGTTGGGGGACTCTAATGAACTGGAAGGCATTGGCAAAAATCTGTGAACAACAGAGACGAGTATTATTGATCAATATTTAATTCCAAAGAAAGCACTAACAAAGCAAAGTTGCAGTTTTGACCTGAGACGAAGAACCAAATCTCTGGAACCTCGCCATATAACTTCAAGAGATTTATCACCCTTGCGCTTTGCTCTGTCTTGATAATCAATTCTGGCAAAATCACAGAATCAAACCCAGCTGTAACATAAATTTTGATCAATTAATAACTACACAATGACAACAAAGTATTCAATTAAATTATGCAGACAACTTTGCCATGAAATTAAGAAAAGAAATCGTTTCAATTATTAGTAAGAGTGAAAAGGATACATTGAAACTTATTCACTATATTGACAACTGAAGTATGTTTATAAGAATAACCCAGCTGAGCATATTCACAACCACATTGGTGAATCATAACTAATAAAATCGTGTACCTCATCTCCAAGTAGGTAAGCTTGTACGGCAGAATGTCCAAACG